ATATATTATATTTTATTTTATTTTAACATTTATATTATATTTTATTTAAATTTTACCTGAAATTTTGTACAAAATTAACTACAAATACTCTAATTAATAATGCTTAATTTGTGCTCATAGGGTATAAATTAAAAAATCTCATTTTAAATTTATAGTTAAAAGTACAGATAATTTTGTTATTAAATTATATAATTAATAATATAATGTTTTTATTAATAATTATAAAATATATAATTTACATAACACAAACCACACAAAACAATAATTTCTATTTTTATGTAATATATAGATGACAACTGAGAAACACTCCTTCCAGAGTCATTCGTTCATGACTTTACGTTCACACATACTACTACCAGTCCTTTTCTGGAATTGGCTCTTGTCCAGACATAATGGAAACATGTTGCTACGCACCATACTGCAGTTAAGGATAACGACTGCCCATCGAACTTGTTAGACCTATATTTAAAAAATAAAAATAAAAATTATACTATTTATTGTGCACCGCTCCCATCTAGCAATCCTACTAATTAAGAAAATGAATATATTTGTGAATATGATATATAAGTGTAGAAATCAATTATTATTAGTCAATTAACTGAGTTTGAATTTTTGAGAATATATAAACCTTAATCTACAAACTTATTAAGTTATTAGCGAATTTAGCAAGGAATCTTCTATGTTGCTTTAATGCCTTTCTATTTTTTCTATTTTTCCACCAAAAGCAACTAACATTAGAAGTATCTAAAATTATGGTACATACAAAAATGAAGAATTTTATTCAATCTAACTCAAGAGAATGGTAAAGTCGAAACACAATATCTTAATTAATTTACACACAATAATTTGTTGTCTGGAGGAAATGACTTGAAAGAGAAATAAAAATGCAAACCGAAATGATGAAGTGGGTATATGATATATAATGGAAGGATGATGTGGATGATGATTGGCAAACCTTTGTTTTTGGGTTTCCATGGTCACGATCAATTGGACAAGCAAGTCCATGAGTCATGTGTGAGACTCCAATCCCATGAAAGTTAGACCTTAGTAGTGATTAAAATGATTAGCTCAATATTTTAGTAATACTACCACATGGGATACTAAAATTTCATACCGAAAAAGAATGTATTATTGTTATCTTTGGTGGGGCTTGCTTCATTTGCTTTTTGAAAAGGGCAATTGGGAGGGGTTTGAAAGTGTGGGATTTGTGTATTGGAATTAGGAAAAGGAGACGGCATTCAAAGGTGGACTCGTTCATTATTCCTTTCTTACTTGAGTTTGGCCCACACCTATTGCCTTTTTTCAGTGGCCATTCCAAGTTATTACCTGTAAATCTTGCAACAAATGAGGAGTGTGTGTGTGGTTTGCTTTTCCTGTTCTTCTTGGTTGTGGAGATGGATCTGGGATCATGGAAAGGGCTTGGCTTGGTAGTACTAACCTTTTAATTAACTATTGTATATATGCTTGTTTAGCGTTAATCTATCAACAAATGTGGTACTTTATAGTCACAAATGAGACCTTTTCCCCTTTTGTTATAATTTTGCAACTCTATTTGGATTAGTAGTTGTTAAACAAGTTTGGTCATTGGTTTTTAATCAAATGAATTAAAAGCATTTGGCAAAGATGAAATGGTGTGAAAGTAAGAGTTTTTTTTCTTATTTTGACCCATAAGAACAACGGTGGGGTTAAGTAAAAAAATGAAAAGGAATTGATTCTCATTGTAGAATCTAAAATAATATAAAAAATATTATTTTTAACTTTATTTCAAATTCTTAACATTAGCACAAAGGCTTACTAATTTCGTACCATAAAAAGGCAAAACTTTATGTTAAGTCCCTAAATTTATTCTAGATTTTTTTTTTAGTCTTTAAACTTTAATTAAAGTGATAATTCCCTAAATTTGGTGATATAAACAATTTAATCTTTCTTCTTTACAGTAAACTTAACACTTGTTTGTGTATTACTTATATGAATAAAATATTGATATATAATTGTGTACATGAAAAGTATTAATCTTATTCATGCAAATAAGATATAAACGAATATTAAATCATTGCATATACGACAAATATTAACCTTGTCCACGAATGTAAAATACAAATAAGCGTAAAGTCCACCTAAAAAAAAAGGGTTAAATTATTCAAATTGTTAAATTCAAAAATTTATTTACTTTAATAAAAGTTTAGGTGCTTAATAAAAAATCTGGAATAAGTCATAGGATTTTGCCATAAAAAAAGGACCATTACATTAGGAGAATCAGAACCATCTACATTAGTTCGAACCCATAGGGCTTGTCCCAACTCCCCAACTCTGAAGCCCATACGATGATTATGGCTAAAATTCAAACGAAAGCCCAATAAACCCAAAAGGCCCAAAATTCTGAAGCAAAGAAGAAATCTTGATCGTCCGTTTTAACCGTTGCACTTGCACGTGATAAACTTGTCGTGGAAGTCATAGTTTGTCAATTAAACTCATCATTCATAACCCTCTCTTTTTTCGCCACGTGTTCGACGTCAACGTCGGGCAACAAAAAGGTTTGCCGTGACAAAGTAAATTTGACAGCGGAGCTAACGGCTACGTCTGTCAACGGATCACCAGTATTACCCGCAACTACCGCTCCCTCTTCACGCCTCCATAATTTGGACTCTCCTCCACGGTAGTTGAAATTCTCTCAGATCTCCGCCGCCGTTCTTCGTTCCTCTGCTGCTATGGCAGTGGCCGCCGCTTCTTCAGAGACGATCGATCCTCCAAGCGTAATGGACCGCTCTCCTTCTCAATCTCCGTCCGACGGAGCTGCCGAACCTTCCAACCTCTCTTGCTCCGCCGGCACTCCTGATCGCAACGAGCCTTCAAATTCTTCTCCAAACCCTAACAGAGATGTTGATGTTCAGGTTCTACTTGTATCACTTAGTTTTATCTTATTTATATATATTTACGAATCATAGTTATGTTTGTTTATATCTGGATTAGGCTGGAACCATTGTCTGGCATTTGGATAGCAATATATAATATGGACATGGCTTCCAGTTAGTTGTATTTGCTCATACACAATTCTTGATGATTTCTTCATATGGATCGTTGGCCAAA